TTTTGGAGACAGCAGTCTTGCTTTGTTGCCCAGGCTAGAGTGAGTGCCGTGGCGTCAGCCTAGCTCACAGCAACCTTAAACTCCTGGGCTCAAGCAATCCTACTGCCTCAGCCTCCCAAGTGAGCTGGGACTATAGGCCAGATGCGCACACCCATGCCCGGCTAATTAAAAAAAAAAAGAAAGAAAAAAAAAGAAAATAGAAAAATCAGCCAGGTGTGGTGGCTGCACCTGTAGTCCCAGCTAGTCCCGAAGCTGAGGCGGGAGGATCAGTTGAGCCCAGGAGTTGGAGGCTGCAGTGGGCTGTGATGACGCCACCGCACTCCAGTCTGGGAGACAGAGCGAGAGCCTGTCTCAAGAAAGGAGAGAGAGAGAGAGAAGGAGAGGAGAGAAAGAGAGGGAAAGAAAAGGGAAGGAAGGAATGAAAGAGACAGAAAGAAAGAGAAGGCCGAGCTGAGCAGAGGACAAGGGCTTTATAGGCACGACAGGGCTGAAGAAGGCGGAGACAGGCCCAAAAGAGGACTGTGTTTCAGAGGGACTTTCCTTGCAGGGTTGAAACGGAGGGGATTTTCTCACGGTACCTGCCCAGGCAAACCGGAGCCCTCTGACTGGGTGCCGGGACCCTCCTGGTGTTTGTGGGTCTGTTTGCAAAGGGTGTTGAGACGCACGTGCAGAAGTCTGTGGCTGAGCCGGCTGTCAGGGCCCAGCGGCGGGGGCTGCGGGCCCCGCCCTCTGCTAAAGCTCCCAGCTCTGCACGGAGCTGCTGCTTTGCTCCGGGTCACGCCGGAGTCCCTGGCGCTGAGCCACCCACCCGCTCACGACATGGGGCGCCCCCCCCAGAACAAGGTGAGGAGCCGGAGAGAGCGCATCGTGCGGGAGTTCGAGAAGGTGGGGCTCTGCCTGCTGGAGGAGGAGCGGCGGCTGCTGCAGGCGCTGAAGAAGGAGGAGGAGGAGACTGCGGGCAGGCTCCAGGAGAGCAAGGCCCTGCTGGCCCGGCAGAGCCACGCGCTGGAGCGGCTGCTGCTGCAGCTGGAGGACCTGAGCCAGCGCGAGCCGCTGCACATGCTGCAGGTGCGGGCGCGGCCCGGGCAGTGCGGGGGGGCCTTGGGGCTGGGCCGCGGCCGCGCACCTGTTTAAGCTGCCTGTGCGCCCAGGAGGACAGGAGCTCGGGGACCGAAGGCAGCCCCACGGGGAAGGGCCACCGAAACAAAGCCCCACAGACGCGGGCAACCACGCTGTGGGGTGCCCGACGTCCCGCCTGAGCCCCGTGGGTTGTCCTGGATAGATTCGCCAGGTGCCCTGCCTTTGCGTGACTGTTAGTCTTCCGTGGTAAAGCAGCCTGGGCCAGACACGGTGGCTCCCACCTGGAATCCCGGCACTTTGGGAGGCCGAGGTGGGAATAGTGCTTGAGGCCAAGGCTTTGGGACCAGCCTGGGCATCACGGCAAGACCCCATCTCTACAAAAATGTTTTTAAAAGTATCCAGGTGTGGTGGCATCCAGGTGTGGTGGCATCCAGTGACCCTCCCACCTCAGCCTCCCAAGTAGGAGGCTGAGGTGGGAGGGTCACTGGACCCCAGGAGTTCGGGGCTGCGGTGAGCTATGGTGACACCACTGCACTCTTAGCTGGGTGACACAGTGAGACCCTGTCTCTTAAAACAAACAAACAAAAAACACCTTGTTCACAACCCGCTGAGTTGGCTTAAGCCCCATGGCGCTGGTGGGTGGCTACTCTCACGAGCAGGCCCTAAGCGTGTCACCGCGTGAGGTTCCTGTGCCAAGACGAAGGGTCGTGCTGCAGAAATCCCTGGCAACTTCCCGGGCCAGAGCTGCTAACGTGCACCTGGGAAGGCCGCAGGCTCCCAAGGAGGCTGCAGAAAATGCCCTGGCAGCTTGGCCTGTTACCCGGCCCCTCTCCATCCCCACGCCGCACCCAAGAGCCACGGCAGCCCCGCCCCTTCTCCGCATCCTGGGTGGGCCGCCCCGCTGAGCTGGGAGGCGAAGGCTGGCGTCACTGCTCGCTCGCCTTGAAGGGCAGAGGTGCCCTCGGCCTGGTCCGCACTGACCGGCTGGACATCGGGCGTCTGCGGTGGGCTGACAGGAGGGTCGAGGTGGGCGTGGGAGCCCTGCGTGGCAGGGGTCAGGAGTGCCCGGGCGAGGACGGTGCCCGATTCCGGGGAAGGGAGTGCCCGGGAAGGGGACAAGAAAGCAGCACGGACAACCTGGAGGGGTGGGCCAGGGTGGCCCATTCCCCACCCACCGGCCGTCCCTCCCTCTCTCTGTCTTTTGCAGGATATCAAGGACCCGCTGGGCAGGTATGTGGTCACCTGGGGTGGGGGCGGCGGGGGGGTCGTGTGGGCCCAGAGGGGACAGTGAGCTTGTGTCCGCTGGACGAAGAGCAGCTTCAGCATGCAGTACCCAGAGGTGGTCCCCCCAGCCGTGCTCAGGACTGTGTGCAGGGTGCCCGGACAGATAGGGGTGCTCAAAAGTTTCCAAGGTAAGTGGGGGCCCCGGGCCGGGAACCCTGTCCCTGGATTCTCTGGGCAAAGCCCCCCGCGCCCCCACACACATAGGGCTGGGGGAAGAGCCACCAGCGTGCGGCCTCAGACTGCACCGCCTGATCCGGCCATGGGCTGGGCGGCTCCCTGCACTGGGTGGGCTGGCTGGGGTCTCCAAGGCCCCGCCTCCCGGCCACTCCCTTATCAACGCCAGTGTCCACAGTTGGGGTGCAGGGCCGTAAGGGAACCCCAGAGACACGGCTGCACTCAGTGCAGGGGTCCTCTGGGGAGTTTGGGGACCATTTGGCCACGAGCCACCCTCTGCCCCGCCCTGCCCCGCCCCACCGCTAGGGCTCTGGCCCTCTCAGCCCTGGCCCTGAGTGGCACCCTGTCTCCCCGCCGCCGGGCCCCACCTGCTGCAGAGGACGTGGTGCCCGACCCCGCCTCGGCCTACCCCTACCTCCTCCTGTACGAGAGCCGCCAGAGGCGCTACCTCAGCTCCCCGCCCGAAAGCACCGAGTTCTGCAACAAGGACAGATTCCTGGCCTACCCCTGCGTCGTGGGCCAGAACACCTTCTCCTCGGGGAGACACTACTGGGAGGTGGGCATGAACCTCACCGGGGACGCGCTGTGGGCCCTGGGCGTGTGCAGAGACAACGTGAGCCGCAAGGACAGGGTCCCCAAGTGCCCCGAGAACGGGTTCTGGGTGGTGCAGCTGTCCAAGGGCACGAAGTACCTGTGCACGACGATGGCCGCCCCCACGCCCGTGACGCTGACGGAGCCACCCAGCCACATGGGCGTCTTCCTGGATTTCGAGGCCGGGGAGGTCTCCTTCTACAGCGTGAACGACGGGTCCCACCTGCACACCTACTCCCAGGCCGCCTTCCCCGGCCCGCTGCAGCCCTTCTTCTGCCTGGGGGCTCCCAAATCTGGCCAGATGGTCATCTCCACGGTGACCGTGTGGGTGAAGGGGTAGACACGGGGGCGGAGACGCTGGCACTGCGGAAGGCGAGGTCCTTCTGCTCACTGCTGGCCCCCTGCTGGGCTTGAGAGCGTGGACTGTATGGGGCTGGTTTCTCAAGGTCCAAATATAGTCCTGATTAAAGCCCTCGAACATTAAGAGGCTGTACTCACAGAAACCGTCCAGCGCCCCTGTTTCCCAGCGCACCAACTTCTAAATGCAGACCTGCACACCACCAGTGTGGGCCCATCTCCTTCAGCTGTGCCTGTCCCCTCCCCGCACTTTGGAATGTCACTAACTCTGTGGCTCCCAGTTCCCAAGAGGTTGGTTTATTTATTTATTTTTGTACATCTAAAAAATTTTTTGTAGAGACAAGGTCTCGCTTTGTTGCTCAGGCTGGTCCCAAACTCCTGGCCTCAAGCCATCCTCCGGCCTCAAGCCATCCTCCGGCCTCGGCCTCCCAAAGTGCTGGTGCGAGGCCCCGCACTGGCCTCGGGGAGGTTCAGGTTACTGTGGAGAAGTTGGTCCCAGGTGTCCTACAGAAATGCTAGCATCCTCCCCGCTGGCTATCGGTTCCTTCGCCGGGGAAACCGGGAAGGGCTGAGCCCCAGGGCTGCCCAGTCCGATTCGTACACTTGCAACGCCGGCCAACCAACGAAGGTGAGGATCTTTGGGGGCCTCCGTTCCCTTCCCACCGCTGCAGGGTCGGGCGCACTGACGGCCCGAGCGTGGTCCCCGGCGCGCCAGAATTCGTGCCCCGAGAAGACCAGGGTCTCCGGAGCAGCGCGCGCCGCAGGGCGAGGGTCTGGGCCCACGGGGAGCGGGTCCCGCGGGGCGCCCCGGCCCGGTCCCGGGTCCCCGCACTCCCACCGCGGCGACGCCGGCCCGCCGGAGGGCGCGCGCGGCACGCGAGGACCCCCCCGGGCGCGCGGGCAGAGGCGTCCCGGGCGCGGCCCCTCGGTGCGCGCCAAGCCGCCCCCGCGCCGCCAGCGAGCGCACCCGCACCCGGCCCCGAGAGCGCCCGCCCACCGGAGCGCGCACCCGCCCGCGCCCCGGGCCACCGTCGCGCGGGGCCAGCGGCGGACGCCGGTCGCGTGACGCGTCGTGGCCAATCGGAGGCAAAAGCGGGTTGTTCCAAAAAAAAAGTCACTTCCTGCTTCCGCCTAGGCTCCGCTTCCTGCCGGCGCCCGGCAGCCCCGCGCCCCGGAGCCCGGTGCGGCCGTCGGCCCCGCAGCGCGCCCGCCGCCCGCCCGCGCCATGGCCGCGCCCGACCTGTCCACCAACCTCCAGGAGGAGGCCACCTGCGCCATCTGCCTCGACTACTTCACCGACCCGGTGATGACCGACTGCGGCCACAACTTCTGCCGCGAGTGCATCCGGCGCTGCTGGGGCCAGCCCGAGGGCCCGTACGCCTGCCCCGAGTGCCGCGAGCTGTCCCCGCAGAGGAACCTGCGGCCCAACCGGCCGCTCGCCAAGATGGCCGAGATGGCGCGGCGCCTGCACCCGCCGTCGCCCGTCCCGCAGGGCGTGTGCGCCGCGCACCGCGAGCCGCTGGCCGCCTTCTGCGGCGACGAGCTGCGCCTGCTGTGCGCCGCCTGCGAGCGCTCGGGCGAGCACTGGGCGCACCGCGTGCGCCCGCTGCAGGACGCGGCCGCCGACCTCAAGGTGCGCGCCGCAGGGGGCCCGGGCAGGCCGCGGAGGGGAGCCGGGCGCAGCCTGGCCCTGCTGCGGGCTGGGGCTAGGGGCGCGGGGGGTGAGCGGGCTGCCTGGCACGGGCGAAGGCAGAGAGGTGAGGGGCGGAAGGCCGTCTGGGGTGGGCACCGGGCAGGTGTGGCCTTCCAGTGGCCGGGAAGGAGCCAGGATCCCAGGACCGCGCGTGGGACAGGGTCTCAGAGGTGACTGGTCTGAGCCAGGGAGGGATGTGGGCAGGACCAGACCTGCAGGGGAGCCAGTACTTAGTCCTGGGCTAGTCCCAGGCTGGGAGGGACCCATCCACCGCCTCCCTGGTCCACCTCCAGGCTGCAAGGATTTCTGGGTGGGGCATTGGGGGCTGCTTCTTTGGGCTGGGACAGCGAGGTTTAACCCATCTTCGCTCCCCATGTCTTCAGCCTGAAAGTCCCGGAAAACCCCGTGCTGAGGGTGCACGGCACCTTCCTGCCCTTGCCTTTCCTCACCGACCTGCGGCCTGTTTGCCCTTGAGGAGACAGACCGGCAGCATCTTCCGAGCTATTCCCACGGCTGCATGCGTTCTGCGGCGTGGCCAGTTGTGTGTGTCAGCGAAGAAGTGCAGCAGATCGCAGTTAAGGGGGTGGTAGAGTCAGTGCGCAGTCCGCCCCTGCCGCACAGCAAACTTCTGGGGCGCCAGGGTACGTTGGAACACGCCCGCACTTTTGGATTTTAGTGGGAAGGAGGTTTAGAGCCACATCAGTGGGCTAGTGCAGACACAGGTTCTTGCGGTTTTTCTTCTCACTTCGTCCATTCAGGGACATCCACACCTCAGACGCGTCGGCCCGGCAGGTTTATACGCCCGGCACCACTCACCCCTGTTGGTGCAGAAAGTGCCAGTAGCTCTCCAGAGCCAACCTGGTAAAAGTCTCACAGGATAGCACTTAATCCTTTCTATTAGGCCGGGCGTGCTGGCTCACGCCTGTAATCCTAGCACTCTGGGAGGCCGAGGCGGGAGGATCGCTCAAGGTCAGGAGTTCCAGACCAGCCTGAGCAAGAGCGAGACCCCATCTCTACTAAAAATAGAAAGAAATTAATTGGCCAACTAATAATATATGTAGAAAAAATGAGCCGGGCATGGTGGCGCATGCCTGTAGTCCCAGCTACTAGGGAGGCTGAGGCAGGAGGATTGCTTGAGCCCAGGAGTTTGAGGTTGCTGTGAGCTAGGCTGATGCCACGGCAACAGAGTGAGACTCTGTCTCAAAAATATATATATATATATCATTTCTATTGCAAAGGAAGGAAAAAGACTTTCTCTACCCTGTTCAGCGGCTGGGGGCTGCAAATTAAACTGGCAAAGGACAAAGTAACGGGGAAGAAAGCATAGTTTTATTAGTATTTTTAATTTAACATGAACCAGAATTTCACAGGAAGGAAGAGAAAAAAAATCCAAACAAAGCCTCAGACTCTGCAGTCTGCAGCTCATATGTGGACCTTTAACAAAGCATGTAAACAAAACATATATGGACCTTTAACAAAGCATGTAAACAAAACATATATGGACCTTTAACAAAGGCCCATAAATTGCGGAGAAGCGACTATTCGTAGGAGAGGGAGTCTGAGCTACTAAGGACAGTAAACTCTGGGAACGTAACTAGAAATGTCCGAGGGGAACTGAGAGGAGCTAAGGATTATTTTCGTAAGGTCCGTTTAGGCAGATTCGTCTCTGGATCAGAGCACTGTCCCCCTCCTGGTGGAGGGCCGCACCTTTTCAGTGGGCATTAGTGCCCTGCTTCTAGGCCGACAGCAGCAGGACAAAACTCTTCTATCTTGCTCAAAATGCCCCTATGCTAAAGTGGCGTGTGCTGGGGTGGCGTGTCTTGTCCACCTTCACTGTGTCGGGGCCTGTTTAAGGTTAGTTTAGTGTTGGGGATGCCCCTGAAAAATGCTGTGCCCGCCCCCAGTGAGTCTAGAAAACTGAGTTCTGACCAGTCAGGGCTGAACCAGACCCAGGCCGCGTCACCCCAGGCGGCAAACAGGGAAGTCCCAGTGCGGCCCGGTGAAAGTACAAGAGGAGACAGCCCTCAGTTCTGTCTGGCGTGTGTCGGGTGGCACCAGGGACAGGGCGCGGCCGTGGGGGGCAGGGAAGGACCGGGCCTGCTCGGGGCCGCCTAGGGCAGGAAGATTTCCACTCTGCCCGCAGATACGGCGCGTGGAACCGGAAGTCAGGCCGTGCTCGGTGCTTGTGGCCTGCAGGACGCCGTGTGTTGGCTTCAGCGCCGAAAATGGGAAACTCAGCAGGGAGAACAAGGCACTGGGGGAAAAGTTGAGAGGTCCGGTCTGGGCCGAGGGAGTTTCGCGTGGGGCAACAAGGGGCCGGGCTTGGGTCTCCCAGAGGAGGCCTGGGGGCGGGGACCCCGGTCTGGGGCTCCCGCTGTAGCCCCCAGGAGAGCTGAGCCCGGGCGGGGACACTGAGGGAGCTAGACACAGCCTCAGCGCCGGCGTGTGCCGGCCAGTCTGCCTCCATCTCGGGGCCAGGTGCTGAGCCACGGGGACACCCTGGCGCCGATGGCCGGGTTGGCACCCTGGCCCTGCCACCGGGCAGACTGTGGGACTCCAGCACCTCGGTTCATCTGGAACGCGGGTGGCCGGGGGAACCGAGGTGTGGCCAGCAGGGCGCGGGGCTGGTGGGCGGGGCGGCCCGGTCAGGCCTCGCAGGAGAGCAGCCCAGGCACGCGCCGTGGCGTCCGCCCGTCCGCAGGGCTCCCGCCGTGTCCCTGGTCCCCGAGACGTGAGAAGCCATCGGTGCGAGTTCAGGGCTGAGAAGGCGGAGTGGGACGGTGCCCACCTGAGGCTCGGCCCCGTGGGGTTGAAACTGGGGTCACGCCAGGCTCTGCGGGCTGGGAGGAGACACGGGTGACGCCGGGTGACGTCTTTGCCATGACAGAGTACTGTGGTCTGGGCTTCTCAGAAGCCCCAGAGGTTTCCTGCCCGCGGCTCTGGAGGTCCCAGACCACCGCGCGGCAGAGCCTGTCCCGGGGGGGCGTCATGCCGGGTTCGTGGGCGGCGCCTTCTTGCCATGTCCCCACATGGCGGGAGGGGCGAGGGTCTCCGGGTCCCTTTCATAAGGCTAGTTATCCTGTGTGTGGCGGCTCCACCCTCACGGCCTGGTCACCTCCCAAAGGGCCCTCCCTCCGTCACCTTGGGGGGCAGGATTTCAACCTGTGGGGTTGGGGACACAGACATTCAGGTCATGGCACTGGCTCGGCCCGGGAGACAGAGCTCCTGCGGCTTGGGGGGTGGTCACCACGTCCCACTGCCTCCTCTGGCGGGAGCCTGGCTGGCAGGTGGCGGCCGGAAGCCCCCGTGGTGGCCTTGCACGGGCGGGCGGGCGGGGTCGGCGTGGCCGTGAGAGCGGGTGCGGGCCGCGGCCAGGGCGCCGCGTCCCCTTGTTCCCCAGACAGCCATCTCCGTAGGGGACTTGGGGCAGGAGGCCAAGCGCACAGGACGGGCTTCTGTGCCGGGCGCAGTGTCCGCCCGAGTCCCGGCGCCGGGCAGGGCTCACGCACGGCTGTCTGGTCTCTGCCCGGCCCCCAGGCCAAGCTGGAGAAGTCGCTGGAGCACCTTCGGAAGCAGATGGAAGACGCGCTGCTGTTCCAAGCCCAGGCCGACGAGACCTGCGCCTTGTGGCAGGCAGGTGCCGGGAGGGCGGGCGGGCGGGACGCCGCGGTCCACACTCGCGCCGGCTCCCTGGGAACCAGGCTGGCGGTCCGGCCGCGTGCAGGCGCGGGCGGATGCCAGAGGGGCAGGTCCTCCCCGCGTGAGCCCGGGAGGCCGGGCAGCGGCATCCAGGACACGGGGCGGGGGGGTGTGGGGGGCCCTGTGCCGGGTGGCGGCCCCGGGTGGTCTGGGCCTGGGTGTCCGGGCGGGGCCGGGCCGGGCTGGCCTCAGCTGTCCCCGCGGCCCCGGGGTCCCGGCATGCCCGGGTGGCGGCCCCGGGTGGTCTGGGCCTGGGTGTCCGGGCGGGGCCGGGCCGGGCCGGCCTCAGCTGTCCCCGCGGCCCCGGGGTCCCGGCATGCCCGGGTGGTCTGGGGCTGGGTGTCCGGGCCGGGCCGGCCTCAGCTGTCCCCGCGGCCCCGCAGAAGATGGTGGAGAGCCAGCGGCAGAACGTGCTGGGCGAGTTCGAGCGGCTGCGGCGGCTGCTGGGTGAGGAGGAGCGGCGGCTGCTGGGCCTGCTGGAGGCGGAGGAGCTGGGGGTGCTGCCCCGGCTGCGCGAGGGCGCCGCGCGGCTGGGCCAGCAGAGCGCGCGCCTGGCCGAGCTCATCGCCGAGCTGGAGGGCCGCTGCCAGCTGCCGGCGCTGGGGCTGCTGCAGGTGAGCGGCGCGGGGCGCAGAGGCGGCGGGGTCGCCGGGGCCGAGGGCCGCTCTGGCCTGCGAGGTGCCGAGTTGGCGGCCGTCCCTCCGTGGCCCGGGCGGGCGGCTCTCCGGCGCTGGCCGGTGTGGCTGCGGGTCTGGAGCCGGCAGCCCTGGGGGCGCCTGTCACCCTTCCGTGGGGTCCGCGGTGTCTTCGGCCCGCCCACGCTGAGGACCGGTCCTCTCCCGCGCGGCACAGACACGGACTGGGGTGTGCGGGCAGGGGTCCCCTGGCGGCTCCGGCTCCCGTGCGGGGGAGGCCACACGTGACCGAATACGGCCCCTGGTGGGGGGTGGAGGGCCGGAGGGCTTCCCGCAGGAGGTGACGCGCCCACCGGCTCCAGCGCCCAGCAGACACGGCGGGGACGGGGACAGGCTCCTGGCCGCTGCTTTACCCTTGGGGTTCGGCCGAGCCCCAACCGGTTCCGAGCCCGGGAAACGGGAAGGAACCTGGTGGAGGGAGGAGGGTGGAGAGGGAGTGATGTCGGAAAAGCCGGGAAGGGTTTAGAAGGAGGGACCGTTGATGCAGAAATGGGGGCCCCCCTGCAGGGTCTGCATGAAGACGCGATTTGGGGTCTCCGCTGAGACGTCGCAGGGGGTGGGTGGTGACCTCAGGCTCCCGCCTGCGCCTCTGTCGAGCTGGCAGCTCCACCTGCCCTGCTCGCGCTGGGCCCCACGCGCCCCAGCCCCTTTGCACGTCTCCCCGCCTGCCAGTGAATTCTCCCGGGCTTCACAGCCCTGCCGAGAGCCCCCGTGTTGGGTGGGGATTTTTGAGGCCTTGAGTGCCCCGTTGCCCCCCCCACGTGCCACCTTCCTTGCTGTGTCTGCCTGCGGGCCCAGTCCAGGCGTGCCCGGCGTCCCGCAGCTGGTGCGGAGCGGTCAGAACAGGCGGGCGTGGGGCCGTTGGGTGGCCGGCGCAGGTCGCTGGGTCCCTGCTGCGCGGAAGAGTGTCCTAAGGGACGAGGAAGATCAAAGGGGGAGAACGAAGTTAGCGGGTCTGTACAGAGGGCCCCCACCAGGTGGCCTGAACCCCAGATGCTGCCGTCCGCCACCTGGGGCTCAGTGCGCGGGGGAGGGGCGGGTGTGTCCCCAGGCCTGGGTGAGACTGAGGCTGGTGTTTCCCTCTCCTCCCCCCAGGACATCAAGGACGCCCTGTGCAGGTAACGCCCCGGGGCAGGTGGGCGGGGCGGGGGTGGGGGCCCCCAGCGGGCTGCAGGGCCGACACCCCGGTGCCGTCCCCTCCAGGATCCAGGACGTGAAGCTGCAGCCGCCGGAGGTGGTGCCCATGGAGCTGCGGACCGTGTGCAGAGTCCCGGGGCTGGTGGAGACGCTGCGGAGGTTTCGAGGTGGGTGCAGACGCCGACGCAGGAGGGGACCCGCCCAGGCAGCCAGCGGCCTGAGCCCCGCGTCCCCTGGCTCCAGACTCCGAGTGCCGGGCGCCGGGTCTGTGGGGAAACATCCTCTGCTCGTACTTCCGACACCAGTTGGGGGTCCAGTGATTCCGTTCGGTTCTTTCTTGCGGGGGGCCAGCTTCGCTCTGTCGCCCAGGGTGGGGTGCAGGGCATAGTCACAGCCCAGGGCAGCCTCGAGCTTCTGGGCTCGGGCCGTCCTCCCACCTCAGCCCCGCGAAGTACCAGGGTCACGGGTGCGCCTCGCCCAGCCTCAGCCCAGCCTCGACACCTGCTGCCCATTGTCGGCGCGGACCCCACGGTTGAGGGTCAGGCCTGCGAGGCTGACCCTGCTTCAGATGCCATTCGCAACCTCCGGGGCCGCTGTGCTCCTGCCCAGCCGGCTACGAACCGAACCGGGAGTCCCCGCGGGCCCCTCCTCAGGCCGGTCATTGCCGGGACGGCACCCCGAGCCCAGGAAGCCACTCAGCTCAGTGTGACCGGTTTGTCGCGAAGGACGCACGTCAGGGCTGGGCGTGGCGACGGCACCGTGGTCCTGGCACTCGGGGAGGCTGAGGCGGGGCGATGGGTGGACCCAGGAGTTCGAGGCTGCACGGCGGCTTAGGTGACAGTGAGATCCTGTCTCCAAAAAAAGTAGAATGAAGAATAAATAAAGGCTAGAGCTCAGGAACGGCCGAGTGGGAGGCTCGCAGGTCCGAGAGTTGGGAGGATGAGGATCTCCGGCGTGGGCACTGCCCGGCGTCCCCGAGCCCGCCCTGGCCACGTTCTCGCGGAGGCTCCGTCACCTGGGTGGGTTGGTCGCGTCCTCGGTCGTTGGTGACGGGCAGAGTCTCGAGCACGAGGCCGGCCTTCCTGTGCCCAGCCCTTCCCGAAGATGTCTGGGGTCCCCGGCTGAGTCACCGCAGTAGGGAAGACTCGAGAGTCCTCGGGTTTGGGGAGCTCTATGCCAGGGCCAGGACAGAAGCCAAACGTGCTTGTCACTGCCCCAGTCGTCCGGGCTCTTGCCGACAGGTCTCAGGTGTGCGTAGGACCCGCACGCGGCCCCAGAGGGGACAGATCAGGGGTCCCGTAGTGGGCGGGCTGCCCCAGCCACCCCTTCCCACTCCCGAGACCGGGTCTCCGTGCCGCCCAGGGGCCGACGGGGCCCAGGGAAGCCCAGTGAGAAACTCGGTCCAGCACTCGGACTTCATTTGGGGTCGGAAGGAAGTAGAAAACAAAACCAGGATTTCCTCCTGTCACTCAACGGTCACACGTGGACCGATTTCTAGAAGGTTCTGAATTGTAGCTAGAAGTGGTTAGGTGATGTTTGGGGGCCCAGGCGGGGGGAGAAGTCCGTGTGGGGACAGTGGGGGTGGAGGAGCCTCGCATGCAGCCTCTCAGGCGGGCGGCCGCCGTGCCTGGGTGACCTGTCTTGGCCTCTGTCCGCAGGGGACGTGACCCTGGACCCGGACACCGCCAACCCCGAGCTGGTGCTGTCGGAGGACCGGCGCAGCGTGCAGCGGGGCGACCTGCGCCAGGCCCTGCCCGACAGCCCTGAGCGCTTCGACCCCGGCCCCTGCGTGCTGGGCCAGGAGCGCTTCAGCTCGGGCCGCCACTACTGGGAGGTGGAGGTGGGGGACCGCAGCAGCTGGGCCCTGGGCGTGTGCAGGGAGGACGCCAACAGGAAGGAGCAGGGCGAGCTGTCGGCCAGCAACGGCTTCTGGATCCTGGTCTTCCTGGGCAGCTACTACAACTGCCCCGAGCGGGCCTTCGCGCCGCTGCGCGAGCCCCCCAGGCGCGTGGGCGTCTTCCTGGACTACGAGGCGGGACACCTGTCCTTCTACAGCGCCACGGACGGGTCGCTGCTCTTCGTCTTCCCCGAGACCCCCTTCTCGGGGGCGCTTCGGCCCCTCTTCTCGCCCCTGTCCAGCAGCCCAATCCCCATGACCATCTGCCGGCCCAAGGCGGGGCCCGGGGACGCCCTGGCTCCCCTGTGACCGGGACCCTGGGGTGGCCCCTTCGTCGCTCTCGCCCCTCCTGGCTTCCGGCTGTTCTGGGCACTTGGCGGGCGTGGGAGGGGGGAGCGCGACCTTTGAGCCACGCGGGGAACCCGCGGTGCCTTTGTGAACATGCGTGAGAACCCGCATGCCCGCGCTCCGGGGGGCTGGGTCCCCCGCAAGCCGCCAGGTGCCACCTGGCACCAACCGAAGCCCCGGGCCCTGTGGCCTCAGCGGCTCTGGCTTCTGGTTCCAGGAGCTCTGCCGGCCCCGCGGCCCGGGCTGGTGGCCCTCACGGTCTCAGGCCAGGGCCTGGCGGGCCCAGGAGTCTCCTGTCCCCGCCTCCGTGAGCGTGCTGGGGCGGCCTCGGGGGACGGGGACGGGCAAGAGCCCGGCACCACTCTGGGCGCGGTCACGCCAGGAGAGCTGGGGGACAGCAGTCGGTCTTGGGGAAGGATCCTGAGTAGAGGCCCTTCCGGAAACTGCCCCTGCAGAGACTGGGATCAGGCAGGTCGTGGGGCCGGAGGTCAGTGTAGGGCTCAGAAATGCCCCTCAGACCGCCGCTGCGTCTCTGAAGCCTCTTCTGGCTGGTTTTGTGCTTGCAAAGCCTCCGTCCTGGCCTCGGTGGTCGCCCCCAGGAGCCCAGGCTCGGCCCTGCCGGAGGCCGTGCACACCCCACGGGAGCCCGCGCGCCGCCGGCCGCTGCCTCGCCGTCCCCACGCCGTGGCAGGAGCCAGGGTCTCCGAGAGCCCGAAGCGTACGGGACCAGGAGTCGGCGCTTGTGCTGAGGTTCGGGGTTTCTTCGCCCTTGTCAAGAAGTTCCCGTCTTGGTGCCCCTGTCCTACTCATTGGAAGGACAGCGTTGCCATGGCGAGCAAACCTTAGCCTGGTCTGTGACCTGCTGCTCGCCCTAGCGGCGGGTGCTCGGACGCTCCAGGCCCGACCGGCAGCCGCTCTCCGCAGGGACGCAGTGGGGCCGCGCGCCCCCGTGCGCTTTGCCCAGACACGTGTTCATTCCGTGAAGCTGCCAAAGGGATTTTTATTCCAGAAAACCTAATAAACATTTCCTGTGCTCCATTGTGTTCAACGAGTGCTTTCTCCTGTGGTGCTCTTGTCTTATTATTTAATTATTTTTGAGACAGAGTCACTGTCCTCCCGGCTAGCATGAGTGCCGTGGCGTCAGCCTAGCTCACAGCAACCTCAAACTCCTGGGCTCTAGCGATCCTCCTGCCTCAGCCTCCCGAGTAGCTGGACTGCAGGCATGCGCCACCATGCCCGGCTAATTTTTTTCTATGTATTTTTAGTTGGCCAATTAATTTCTTCCTTTTTTTTTTTTTTTAGTAGAGATGGGCTCTCGCTTTTTCTTACTCCTGAGCCATCTGCCCGCCTCGGCCTCCCAGAGTGCTAGGCTTACAGGTGTGAGCCACCGCGCCCGGCCCTTTATTTAACCATTCTCTCATTATTGTACTTCTCTGGGGGCCGGGGAGGGTGTCACCTGTCAAACTGCCTTGAACAAAGCCAGTTGTTGGAATGATGGGCGTAAGGAGAACGTTCTGCACGGAGCCCTGCGTTTCGCCCACGCGCGAGGACGGTGAGGACTGCCGAGCCCGCGCCGGCCGCGGGTGCCTCAGCAGAGCTTGCGAGAGCAGCGGGCTCGCGGCTGTGGCGGCCGCGCTCTGACGTCTGCTCCCCGCAGTTCCCCGCGGTGGGGAGGCGGCCCCAACACGCGGGGAGCTGGTCACACCCTGCGTGTGTCCTGTGCTCGCAGCGGGCGAGCCCCTCCTCCCGCAGCTTGCAACGGACTGCGTGTTCCGTCCCCCCTGAAAAATCCGTGTGTTGAGACCCTCACCCCCAGTCGGTGGCGGCGGGAGGTGGGGCTCTGGGGAGGGAGACCATTAGGTCGTACAGGTGGCAGCTTCAGGACGGGGTCAGTGCCCTTAGCAGTGGGCCCCCAGGGAGCCCGGGCCCTCTCTCCACCGCCCGCGGGAGGACAGCGAGAGCCCAGGGCAGCGCCCTCCCGCGCCCGCACCCCGTCCCAATCCCCGGCTGCAGAGCCGGGAGGAACCTCTCGCGTGTGAGCCACCCGGTCCGGGGCACGTGGTGGTGGCCACAGGAGAAGCATCTGAGGAGCTCCTGCAGGAGTGAGTGACAGGGCAAGGACACTGGGGCACGTGCAGCCTTTCCAGGCCCCCAGAAACCCCCCAGCCCGCCACCGACTGCTTAGCATGCCAGAGCGCCGGCCCGGAGGTTCCGCTTTCTTTCCGGGGTGGGCGCCGGGGCTGCATGCGTGGGCTGTTATCCCTGAGCAGTGACGGCCTACAGCCACACACAGACCTGTGCAGGAAGGTCTGTAGCAGCTTATTTGTGACGGCCCCAAACCGGGACAGCCCGATGCCCTGTGGCGGATAAATGGTTAAACAAACCGGGGCCCATTCAAACCACGCGGTAAAAAGGAATGAGCTACTGACACAGGCAGCTATATTTGTAAATTCTCAGAGAATTGTGTCGGGCCCCCCAAAAATAAAGATAAAAAATGCTAATCCCTAAAGGTGACACGTGGAATTAGTCCATCGTAAGACGTTCTTACAATGGACACATCACACAAATGCAGCACAGACTGGCGGGCGCGGGAGACCGGAGGGTTCAGGAGTGTGGCGGGGGCTGGGGAAAGTGGGTGTGGTCGTTAAAGGCGGCAGGAGGGGTTCTTTGGAGATGGGCGTGTTCTGTCTGGACCGTGGGAATGTCAACGGGCTGGCCACTGTCGGGTGCGACAGTTTTGTGAGACGTCAGTGGTGGGGCTCAGAACACAACGCCCCAGAACACGGCGCCTCGGCGTGCCGAGTATTTCAGGTGGAAGGAAATTGAGACGGTCACTCCCTGACCTTCTCCCGCCTTTCTGGCCTCTGACCTCCCTCCCAAAAAAGCAGGTCCTGAGACCTTCATTCCGGAAGGGTCCTGCCTTATACCCAGAGGCCAAAAAGCATCTGCGCAGACAGGCTTGGCCAAGCTGCCCCCAGCTCCCGGGCACGAAGTTGTACCTTCCTGTCCAACAGCAGTTCCACACACGTGTCCACGCGGCACCACACCTGAGCACAAGGGCGGACAGCTCTCCCTCACTGTGGGCCTGCCTTTTTGAATGTGCCTGGTCCTATCGAGCTTCTATTAACCAGCTGTGCTGTGCTTGTCTCTTGTTAACCTGCCTTTGTTTTCAGGGTGCCAGCCACGAACCCCGCAGGGGGCCAGGAAGAGACACCACTTCTCGCCCACGCCAGCGTCGTGGGAAAACAAATATGCCGTGTGTGGGCCACTAGTGCTGGGTTGCGTGGCGGTGAGTTGACTCTCGCGAGACAGCAAAGCAGGAGGGAGGCAAAATCGGTGTTTGGGCACGGCGGGGCTGAGGCAGCCAGTGCAATTTTGATTTTTTTGTTTTGTTTTTTTTTTGAGACAGCACCACT